CATTTGGGCCACTCTGGAACCATCCAGAAGAACACTTGCTCAGTGTAGCTGACTGACCCCAGAGCCTTATTCATCCTGAGAGGATGAGAGGTTGGGAGAGCCCTGCCCAACTGTGGGCTCAGGAGGCAGAGCTCCGGGCATCTCCCCATGGTTCAGGTCCCTCTCCTGCTCCCCCTCCTCACTCTCTGCACAGGTGCCACCTAGGACCTGAACCCAGGCTCAGCTCCCACAGAAACCTGAGCCTGACCCTGACCCTGAGTTCAGCCCAGGAGATTTTTCAGTGGATGGAACCCTGAGAATGAGCCCCACAGTCTCCTGATTCTGCAGGCTCTGAGGTCTCCTAAAGGCTCAGCTGTGTCCAGTAGAGTTGGCCATGAGATACCTTCCCCGACCTGCTCAGGAGAGAGTGGAACAGGCAACAGTGCAGAAAAAACCAGCAGGAGCCCAGCCAGGCCCTGCATCCAAAACAGCGACCAATCCCCACAGGTTCTCCAGCTCTAACCTGGAGTACAGCCCCAGTGACCCCACCACCTGCAAGCCACCTGCAAGGAGGTGGGCTCCTCACACAGCCAGGCCATCATGGGGGATGGCAGTGAGCCAAGGGACACAGCCCTGCCACCACCCTAGCACTCACATTCTTTCTCCCCTACCCTGGTCAGTCTCTGCGCCACAGAGCCCAGGATCTGAATTCAGGACACCTGCGCTCAACCTGGACCTGCCACGGCTTTTCTTTGTTGTCTTGGGCAATGTAATCTCTATGGACTCAACTTTACCTGCTGTGAAATGGGAAGCCTTATACTGACTTTAAGAATTTTCTTCCTAATTAAATGATAAAAATGACCAAAAAAAGGTTCTTATTAATTAGAGAGAAACTCTGCAGAGGTCTGAATGGGTAGCACAGTTTTTGGAGTCTTGTTCTTCCTCTCAGGGAATCCAGGAAAGAGCTCAGCACACAGCATGTTTTCTGCAATGGAAGGAAAGGGTTTCCCTGGTCAGAATAAACAGCAGATTCCTTGTTTCAAATCTCTAGCCTATGCTCATATAGAAATCCTCCCACCACAAACACCAAACATTTGTGATGAAATAAAATAATCACAATAGAGGTGATAATAAGAATAATTAAAATAATGATGATAATGACAGTGATGATGACGACAATGGTGATGGTGATGATGTCACAGCACAACTGAGCTTTAATGTCCAAAAACACCAGGTGTTCCCAGTGAATCGTAGCTGCTCTTAATAGGTGGTGGGAGCATCAGTCTTGCTTGTAAATACATAGACACTCTGGGACCCTGTAAGGTTCTGTCTGGGTTACAGAAATTGCACCTGCCCTACCTTCTCGGGCACCACATTTTCAACCTTTCTATGGTGGGCTAGTCAGGGCAGGGTGGGTCACACTGGCAGAGAGTGAGGCTGGACTCTGGTCTGAAACCTCTTAGGTGACAAGTACTGTGAGGTCACCTGGAGTAGGAAAGTTCCTGGGCTGAGTCTCCTCTTCCAGCAGGTGGTGGCAGAGCTGCAGCCAGTGGGAGTCAAGTGTCCCAGGGTCAGTTGTAGGACTGGAAGTCAGGACAGCCCATCCCCCATACCGACCACTTTCTGACAGTCAGATTCACAGAGTCACCCAGGACACTGACAGGAGTCCAGACACAGTGAAAGCCTCACCTGGGATACACAGCCGGAGGTGCCTGGGCCCTGGTGTCAGTCTTGGCAGCTCCTGCAGGGCTGGGATTTCCTGGGAGATACCCCGAGGTCAAGGAGCTCTAGGAGGGAGCACAGTGTGAGGGGACGGGGTTCCCAGGGCCCAAGTCCTTCACTCAGGACGGGCGGCCTGAGCCTCCTCCCATTCTCAGGGCCTCGCCCCTTCCTGTCCAGCAACATCTTGGGGAGCTGAGCCCTCTGTCCTGGGCACTTCCAGAGACACCTCCTGACCCCTCCTCCCTCTGCCTCTCCTTCCAGCTCGAGGTGGACTCTGACTCGGGGGCAGCACCTGTGCTCGGGGGAGTCTCAGGTGGGTGGAGTGGGGAATTCAGGGTCCTGGTCCCTGGATGGAGCATCCCCAGCCTCCTTGAGGAGACACTCTCCAGAGGAAAGGGCATTCTTCTCACCTGCCTCAGGTCACAGCTCTGACCACAGGGCTGTCCTTGGATCAGTGACAGAATCTGCCAGGCTGATATAAAAATTATTAACTCAGGCTAATAAAAATTTACATACACAGAAATGAGACACCAGAGATGAGCAGGCAGAGGAAAGAGCATGTGAGGACACAGCAAGGAGGCAGTGACCTGCAAGCCAAGGAGAGAGGCCTCAGGGGAAACCAAACCTATAAACACCTTTATCTTGACTCCCCAGCTTCCAAACTGTGAGAAAATAAGTGTCTGCTCTTAGGCCTGCAGGTCTTTGGCATCTGCAGGATTCCTCAAAGATCTGTTTGGGGAAAACATGTAACCTCCCAATACTAGTTTTCTAGTAAAGACTGGGCCTTAAGCATAGGGCTTTGCATCATCGTATTCCACATTATGAAAGCCTTTTTGAGGTCCCGCTTATAAAACAATCACCAATGCATCTGGCATCTGTTAAGGGCTTATACATAGTCATTCTGAGTGATTTGGTGATTTACGGAAAATGGCATTCTGTGGGCACCAGGGCTACTGTGAACCTTGGTCTGAGGACCATAATTAGTCCCAGTTCCCTGATGGTGCTCAAGTGCAAAGGGTGTAACTGTGGCTTCCTCTGAAGCCCCTTCTATTGGGTAAAATCCTGAAATTCACCTGACCTTTCTGATCTTGAGAAATTACCCAGAGAAGGCCCTCAGGCTCAGGGCTCAGACAAGAACTGGGGCACATGCTTTAGGAAATAGAGAACAGATTTGCATCCCCTGTTCACCAGGCTTTGTTCATCTAACAAAGACACAAGAATAAAGAAAGTAGATTTGCATAAAAAGCCTCCCCTTCCTATGATAAAAGAGATCTGGGGGTCCCTCCACAGCTGTGGACTCAGAGGCAGAGCTCTGGGGCATTTCCACCATGGCCTGGACCCCTCCCCTGCTCACCCTCCTCACTCTCTGCACAGGTGCTGCCTCCCAGAGCTCAGCCCCCACAGGACCAATAATCAGCCTGGCCCTGACTTTCAGCTCAGCACAGGGAGTGATGCAGGCTGTGGGGCCGTGGCAGTAAGATTCTCATCCTCAGAGTCACCTCTTCTGTCCTCTCTTGCAGGCTCCGTGGTTTCCTCTGAGCTGGCTCAGGAGTCTGCAGTGTCTGTGGCCTTGTTACAGATGGCCAGGATCACCTGCCAGGGAGATGGCATAGGAAACTACTACACAAACTGGTGCCAGCAGAAGCCAGGCCGAGCCCTAGTAGGGGTCACCTGTGGTAACAACAACTGTCCCTCAGGGATCCCAGACAAATTCTCTGGCTCCAAATTAGAGAAGAAGGCCATCCTGACCATCACTGGGACTCAGGTTGAAGATGAAGCCGACTATTACTTTCTATCACCAGACAGCAGTGGTACTCATCCCACAGTGGCATCACTCATCCCACAGTCACATAGGCAGATGAGGAAGCTAGACAAATATACCTTCACTGTCTGTGTCACCCTCTTCCTCCAGCCCCAGCAGGACTGTGGACACAGCCGTGAGCAGGGCTGATGAAGTATGAATGGATCTGAGCCCTCCAAGTTGCCCTTTTCTCCAACCCTCCAAGCAGGTTCTGCAAAGGGTGAGTTAGGAGGGAATTTTGGGCTGGTGGGACCGGGCTGTCCTGGTATTGTTTGCACTGGATGTGTCTTGGCTCAAGATGACTGGCCAGAAGGACAGTAGCAAGAGACAGCCATTGAGTGGTCATGGTCCCTGAATTTCCTGTCGTACTGTCACTGAACCTATGGCAGTGCCTCTACTCTGTGGCCCAAATGCCCCGGATCATTTCTCTGAACTGACCATGTTTAACTGAGACCCTCACACTTCAGCTCCATGGCATCCTCATGTTCTGAACAGGGAAGCCTTTCATAGTGAGTACTGTGACATGCCTTCGATCCCATAGGGGATGATTGTGGAACCAGTAGCCTCCATCCTTTCCTTTGGATCCTGTGGAGAGGCCCCTGGGAACTCTCCAGGAGTCCAGGCACTTCCAAGTAGAAGCAAACCCCTGGTCCTAAGGAGGTGTCACCTGCTTTTCTGTTCCATGTTCTATCAGCTCTGATAGGACTGGCTCACCTGACCCCAACTCTCTTATCCCTGCTTGTGGAGACTTCTGTTTCTCTGTATGAATTTAATAAATTTCTGCCTCTTGATTATCCTTCTCATCCTGGTGGGGGATGGGGGTGATACTTGAAAGGTCTGGGACTGAGCTTCTGGTGGGCCTTGTGGACCGGAATGGAGAAAAAGGCATTTGCCAAGTCAATGGCTGCATACCAGGTACCAGGAAATGTGTTAATTGGATCAAGCAATGAAACCACATCTGGTTCAGCAGCTGCAATTGAAGTCACCATTTGGTTAAGCTTATGATAATCCACTGTCACTTTCCAAGATCCATCTGTCTTCTGCACAGGCCAAATGGGAGAGTTGAACGGGGATGTCGTGCTGATCACCACCTCTGTGTCTTTCAAGTCCTCGATGTCAGCACTAATCTCTGCAGTCCCTCCAGGGATATGATACTGTTTTTGATTTACTATTTTTTTCTAGGTAGAAGGAACTCTAATGGCTTCCATTTCCCTTTCCCACCATAATAGCCCTCACCGTGCCAGAACTGGCCTGACACCTGGTTTTGCACGGCCCAGAGCTGACAGTGGTTTTTTATCATTTTAAATGGTTACATTGTAAATGACGCTGTAAGTACCTATGTAATATCCCCATAGTTGATTCTTGGGCCGCAAAGACTAAAATACTTCATTTTAAAATTTATGTTTGTTTTCTTTAATGTACTAGAGATGAGGGTTCACTGTGTTGCCCAGGCTAATCTTGAACTCCTGGGCTCAAGCAATTCACATGTGTAAGCCTTCCAGACTGCTGGGATTACAGGCATGAGCCATCGTGCCTGACCACGAAAACTAAATTCTTCTTAACTGGATATCAAGAAAAAGTTTACCAAATCCTAAAAAAATAAAGAATACTGGACTATTTGTGAAAAGGCCCAACCTTAAGCAGAATGGGAGACTCAAACATAAAACTGTAACAAGATAACGTTTTTCAGTCTGGTAGGTTGGCAAAAATTTACACTTTCAATAATATACTCTGAGCAAGTACTTCTGGCTGGCATTGTAAATTGGTAGAACCCCTCTGGAGGGGACTCTGACAACAGTGGGTGAAAGTAAACACACATCTTTCTGAGCCGCAATTTCACTTTCAGAAATGAACCCTATGGTCATATTCACACAGGAACTCAAAGGAGGCTGCATACGGATGTTCGCTGCACTGTTATTTAAGATCAAGGTTGTGGCGATAACCATTAGAATGTAGTTGGCTAAAATTTTACCCACAGTGTGGGAGATGGTGATGCATTTATGGTGAAGGCACCCCTGAAAAAAAGCAGTGACTGCAGCAATCGGGCAGCTCCTTCTCACTGTCCCTGCATTTGAAGAGCTAGGAAGAGTTGCACATTCAGGGACCACAGTACACAAGCATCAGGAAGCTGTCCCTGTGCTGGATGAGAAACCACAGAGCAGGTTTCCTGTTGGATTTTGTGGCGGGAAAAGAGAGGAGCAGAGAAAGAAGAATTCTCAAGGCCATGCTGCAGGAGGCCCCTTGCACGGGGTGAGGAAGCATCTTCAGAGCAAGGAGGAAGCCTGAGAGCCCAGGGCAGGTTTTGGTCTCAGTTCCCCATGAACTTGGACCACTGTGGAAAGTGTTGCTGCCTGCATATGAGCTACAGTAATAATCAGCCTCGTCCTCAGCCTGGAGCCCAGAGATGGTCAGGGAGGCCGTGTTGCCAGACTTGGAGCCAGAGAAGCGATCAGAGACCCCTGAGGGCCGCTTACTGACCTCATAAATCATGAGTTTGGGGGCTTTGCCTGGGTGCTGTTGGTACCAGGAGACATAGTTATAACCACCGATGTCACTGCTGGTTCCAGTGCAGGAGATGGTGACCGACTGTCCAGGAGACCCGGACACAGAGGGAGGCTGAGTCAGGGCAGCCTGAGCCCAGGACCCTGGAAAGAGGGAGAAACACACTCCAGTGAGTCAGTGTTGGGCCCAGGTGAGCCTGAGGAGCAGGAGACCAAGCATCAGCCCAGAGGCCCCTGAAGCCCCTTCCCTGGAGGCGTCACCTGTGCCCTGAGTGAGGAGGGTGAGGAGGAGCAGAGCCCAGGCCATGGTGGAGACGTCCTGAGAGCGCTGCCTCCTGAGATCCCAGCACTGGGCCTGCCCCCAGCCCTGTCTTATCCCCTCTGCCTCAGAGGAGGGCGGGGCCTCCATGCAAATCTACACCCTGAGCTCCTCTCCTCACCCCACCCTCACCTGGGCCTGGGCTCAGAGAATTCTGCTTCCTGGGACAGAAGGGCTCAGCTGAGGAGATCAACGTTCTTGTTTGTCTTTTCTGGTGGCAGGATCTTAATTTTTTTGTACCTGATTTACTCAGGAGAGAAAGATCTGCTGAAATCCATTACCTGAGTGAGCTCCTGGCCCTCAGGGTCTCTGTTGTGAGGTGCCTGTGGCTCTGTGACCCTCCAGGCCTGGGCACACCCTGCAGTGCCCTCTGCTTGGCACCCACCTCCAGTCTGTTTCTACTGTCAGGAAATGGGGCTGCCCACCCCGTGGAAACCTGTGCTGGGTGTTGTTGGTCTCTGGTCTCCCCAGCTGCAGCCTCGTCCCATCCCCACCCCCACGCTTTGTGCTGATGCATCTGCAGCATCGAATCCCTGGAGCACATCAGCCGCCCCAGGCAGTGCACCCACATTCACACGGGCACATGTGGGAGGGACCCTGTAGAGGGAACAAGGGAACAACGATCATGGCCGCAGTCCTGAGCCCGAGTCCGCTGCTCCCAATCCTGCCCTTCCCTCTCACAAGTAGGTGACTTGTCCTTCCCAGCCTCTAGTTCTCAGCCTGAGAAATGGGGCCCACAGAGTCCACTCTGCACAAAGGTGATCCATGGGGATATGAGCCAGCAGGACAAAGGGAAAGTTTGCTAACAGACTTTTCTGTGTGCATCAGAGTGATATTTATTGTGAATGTTTGATTTATTGAAAGATTTATTTCCATTTTACTGTGATTTATGTGTCAGGTCACAGAGACGCGTGTTTCCTGCTTTCTTGCTTTCCCTGATCTGAGCACATCCTCAGGGCAATCTAAAGCTGGCCACTCTCAATCCTGCGACACTGAAGACACACACGCATTCGATAAATACATTTTTTTTTTTTCAAAACACTTCTACTCTCTTTTCATCTTTCCCCATTGCCTGTGACAAAATTCTTTTAATGTTTCATATTAAAATAAATATTAATGGATTCAGCTTCCATTTAAATATATAATCTGCAGTATCCTGTCTCTCCACGTAGTTTCATCTCTGAAACCATGACAAGTGCATGGAGCAGCTATTTGAGCATCAGGAAAGGAAATGGTACGCAGCAGTTTGGGATGGCCCCAGCAGATGAAATACACCAGAGTCAGAGTGAGACTCCTGGATTTCCTGTGTCCCCTGGCCGGGGCTCCAGACAACCCCACACCTGAAGCGGCACAAACCTGAAAAAAAAGTCCAAAAAGCCCTCTTGTTCAGGATTGAAGATAACTTATTTGGCTCAAAGTGAAGGCTCAGTCCCCTGCACAAGCAGGCGGTTCACACCTGGGTTCTCACCTCTCTTACACCAGCCTCTCCCTGGGTTCACACTGATTTCCAATGGGTGGAGACAGGGCTTCCTGCACCAGATCACTCCACAGCCCCACAACCTGAAGCCATGCAGACCAGGACTGTCCAATCACAATATGTTGTGAGCCTCATGGGAATCCCAGTGTCTAGTAACCGCATTATAAATACAAAGAGAAGAATCAATGAGTTTAAATAATGTATTTTATTTACGTAGCATATCAAACAGTATCATTTTAATATATAAGTACAATTTTTTATGATAATATATACCTTGCATGGTTATTGTTATTATGTTTTGAAGCATCTGTGGGGATTGTGTGGTTGATGGAGATGTGAATGGGTTTCTTGTTGACAAGGGTGGGCTGCGGTGGCTTTTTAAGTGTCAACTTTGATAGGCTGAAGGAGGGATAGAAAGAATGATTTTTGCACGGGATGTGGAGGGTGGAGGTGGGCAGGATCCATCCTGTGGTCCCTGCATGGGGTGAGACTGCTTCCCCTGCCCCAGGTTTCTGTGCGGGGAGATCTGACTCCAACTCTCCCTCAGAACCCAGAGCACCTGGCAACTCAGGCTCCCTTTTCATCCATACAAATGCAAGAAACACTCAGATCTCATTGGACATGGGATACTCACAATGCTAATTTAGGAATAAACGGGCGCTTTCCAGTGTACTGTGGCCTCCTGAGGTCCCACATGGCCCATGTTGGGGATGGCTGGTTACCTTAATTTGGGTTCCCTGGTAGCAGACTCTGAGATGGGGAATTGCATGCACAGAGGATGTGAAAGGAGGTGAGGGAGGCAACACTGGGCAGAAGGAGACCCCGACCCTCATTGAGGCCTCAGTCTTTCCTACAGGGAGCTGTAGAGCTGGGAGGATTTTCAGGTTGTCCTATATCGAGGCAGAGTCTTGAGATCTTGACCTCAGGCAGTCATGAAACCTAACCTCGCTGAGGAAGGGCATAACCCGGAGGAGGCAGTTTTCTGCACTGAGCCACACTTCCCAGTGAAGACACAGCTCTCAGCTACCACAAGCTCCCAGCAGTGCTGGGTGGGTGAGCTCAGAAGAAAGAATCTGGGCAGATCCCACAGTGTCCACTCCACTGGTTTTTCAGTAGAGAATGATGTGAACCTGAGCTCATCTCTGGGGACTGATCCAGGATATTCAGGCCAAGGACTGGCTTGTCATGACCTTTGGAAATCCAGAGACCAGCTGAGGAATATCTACCTCAGTCTGATGATTCAACCAGGCCCCATTTCCCTAAGTCACAGCTGAGTCTCCACACCCCAAAATACCCTGGTCAGCTAAGTCCTAAATCCACTCTTGACGCCCCCTCTTCAGAGTCTGCCTGCAGGGCTGGAGGCACTCAGATCCAAGGGTCTCAGATCTATGTGTACTGGGCCAGCCCTGCTCATGAATTTGTCCAGTCTTCCTGGCTGGAGGAAATGTCCTATCCTGGTCATTTCATCTAAATGATGGATTGTGTCATTAGGACACCTGTTAACTATTTCAGTGAGAATAGTTGAGTCATGTAAGGAACCGCTCACCCATGTGGAGTCATCAGGACGTCTGGTCTCATTTCACCCATGGTGTTGATATTTCTAGGCCATCCCCTTCCCCACAGTGGACCAGCTATTGCCATCCTCAGCTCTGCCATTGTTTATTTATTTTTCACATCAATAACTATGTATACTGGTTAAAAGCACCAGGGTTCTCTATCCAGTGTGGTTTTCTGGTGCTTTTTACAAGTTTACATGAAATATTGATGGGAAATCCATTAAGCCCCATGGTCTCTGTGAGAAGTCTTTGCACAGGGTGTGGGCTCCATAGGGTGGGTGGTCCCTGGTCCCTGCAATGAGGTGTATCCTGTCACTGAGCCAAAGACCACCTGGTGGCCAGAGCTGTGACCTGAGATGGGTGAGAATTCCCTTCCCTGTGGAAACCGTCTCCTCAAGGAGGCTGGGGATGTCCCATCCAGGACCCAGGGTCCTGAATGCCACACCCCACCCACCTGAGACTCCCCTGAACACAGGAGCTGCCCTCTGAGTCAGAGTCGGCCTGGAGCTGGAAGGAAAGGCAGAGAGAGAAGGGACGGGGGAGTCTGTGGAAGTGCCCAGGACTGAGGACTCAGCTCCTCAGAATGTTGCTGAACAGAGAGGAACAAGACACTGAGAGGGGCAGGAGGCTCAGGCAGCCGTCCTGGGTGAAAGACTTGGGTCCTGGGAGCCCCATCTCCTCACACTGTGCCCTCCTCCTAGAGCATCTCAACCTTGGGGCATCTCCCAGGGAAATCCAGCCCTTGCGGAGCTGCCCAGGGTGACACCAGGGCCCGAGTGTCTCCAGCTGCATTTCCCAGGTAAGGTCCTCATATTCCCCATCTCCTGTCAGTTGGGTGACGCTATGTAAATCTAGCACTTAGGATGGGGTGACTGCAGCCCGAGGGGATAGGATGCACTTTACTGGGCCTCCAGACCTAAGACTGATCCTGGAACACCTGTCGAGCCTTCAGGGCTGGCCTCCCTCTTAGGCTCCTCCTGGGCAGCCACAGACTCTCTTCTGGCTGCAGCTCTGCTGCCCCCTGCTGGTCAAGAAGAGGGAACCCAGGAGCTTCCATCCTCTGGGTGACCCCAGAACACCTGACACCTGGGAGGCTGAAAACTATGGAGTCCAGCCTCAGTCTGTGCTGTATGTGAACCCTTCTGGCTCAGCACAGAGAGGTGGCATATATGGTTGCAGGGAGGTGGGGCAGGTGCATTTCTGGTAACTGAGTCTCAGGTTGAAATGCTCTTCTCTGTTGCATGGTTTTTGATCACACAATAGAGAGTGCAGGATAAACTGTAGCTCTTCTGTGAAAACCTAAGTATAGTGAAATGTGGTTCTCCCCACATGTACTCCTGTTTCCTATGTATACTGAACACAAGATTGATTTTCCCACCCCAATAAGAATGGCTGCACTGTAACTGGAGCACCTGATGTTTCTGTCACTAAACCTCGGTTGTGTGCTTGAACCATCATCACCATCATTGTCATGGTATTTTTTCTATTAATCATAAGATCAAGAAGATTAAGGTAGAAAATTATGACCATAAGTAGGTGGGAGCTTTCTGTGTTCAATCCACACACGAGAAACTCTATAGCATTCCGTATAACTGTAGCATGGCTTTATTTTTCATTATAAACTTAAATATTTATCAAAAATTAAAATTTCAGTGATTAAAATTGATACCTTTCTTCCATAAGATTTTGATCATTTTTACATGTTTGATGTGAAACTGTGCTTCTTATTGCTAGATGGCCTTTTCTTCCCTGTAGGAATAATCAAAATGACTTTTAATCCACATTAGGCCCCTGTTGGATCGCAGGCCCCAAGTGGATTCCTAGGCCCCAGGTGCACATCAGGCGCAGGTGTACAAGCAGGCCCTGCGTGGACCTACCTGTGTACAGATAAGGAGCTGACCTGGGAGGAGGGTGAGCAGCCAGCAGCCCAGGGAGTTCTTATGGAAGGAAGTTCTTATGAGTAGTTCTTATGGAAGGAAGGAACCGAAGATACGGAACCTTAAAGAAGTAAGTTCACTTCCTTGGTGACGGACCCTCAAAGAACTTAGAACTCTGGTAACCAGGCACCCACATCCTCAGGACAGCCCCACAGCCTGCTCCCTTGGTGGGAGACGCTCAGGAGAGCAAGATGTTCTCATGCTGCCTCCCCACATCTCGAGGCTCCTGCTTCAGGAGGGCCCCGAGTGAGAGCCTTTCCCACGATGCAGACACAGGCTCATCCCTCACCCCAGGCACCTCTGGCCGAAGGTGCCGCGAGGTACCACAGGGCAGCCCAGGGCAGGCTCTACCAGGCCAGGCCTCACCGGTGATCCCATCGGGGCCACATCTGTGCATTGTCCTTGTCCAGCTGGAGCCTCTGGAGTTCCTCAAGGCACAGGCACGCAGTGAGGCGGCCTATAGTGTCAGAGACTTTGCGGGGGCATTTTCCTCCATCTTGGTACATCCTTAGGGAACCAAAAATCTGACCTCTCTGAGCCCTGCAGCACTGAAGACACACAGACAGTCTGTACATACATTTTTGTTTTCTTTTTCTTAAAATGTTTTTAATCTGTTTTCACCTTTCCCACTGCCTATGACAAAACTCTTTCAACATTTCATATTAAAAAGAACGATTGGGCTGGGCGCGGTGGCTCATGC